AAAATCCTATAATAATTCACGTACAAAATGGGCCATTATGGCTGATTAAAGTTGCTATTTTTATAAAGCTTATGTCATGGATTTTGATCCCGGTATTTTACCCTTATTACGTAAAATGTTTTATGTTGAATTATAAACAAATACTAGTAGAAACAAAACACTTTATAACCAACAAATGGGCAACTGTATTTTAAATAGAATATTACTGAGTTCTTTATAACTTTTACTAAGTTCTTTACAACTTTTGTGCGCAAAAATAAACAAAATTATTTTGTTCAAGAAAATAGATGTATTTCATTATTACATATCACTTTGTCACATTATTTGATTTTCCCTTTCGATATAGTTTTCGGTACAAAAAAAAAGTACTCTACTTTGAAGTTTTCTTGTTTTAACAGTTTTCACGTGATTATTTGATTAACAATCATTCAATTGAAGACCTAATATTTGTTTGTTTCAGTTTTCATGATTGCTTAACCAGAAATAATTATTTACGTAAATTTGGCCATTAAAATATCAATTAATTTTGATTTGTTTGTTAGCACCTCGCTTATTAAAAGAAATACCTATTAGTTTAATCCTGAAGAAAAAAGAAAGGTAAAACGGCTCTATCAAAAATTATTAGTATATGGTTATTTGTATATTTTGATGATGATGAAAATGATTAATTTGATGATTATAATTATGATAAACAAATTCGCTTGGCTGCTCTGTTATACATGCATCAATTCTAATAAAATTAAAAAATACTAGAAAGTAGTTTGTTGGCACGTGTGATAATAATGTGTAAATACTATTGGTATTTGAAAACCAAACCATAATATATGTGTAAATACATAATGATTATTATTATTATATAATTTCTGGTGGCTTATGGGACCGGGCGCTATGCTTTACTTTCATGTATAAATCTATATGTATGCATACTTTATTTTGGTCTCATTCGTATACATTCATTTGTTATACATATATACAAATTCACATAAAACCTGCATACATACGATCATTTTTTTTAAGAATTTCAAGTGACATTATATCAATGATAAACATATTCAAGACCTATTTCATTAAGACAAGATTCAAATAGTTCAATTACAGTGTTTATAAACATAATATTAAAAGTTATGTAACCATTGCTATTTGAAAATTAAAAACTGCCCTAAAAAGATGATGTAAGAAAGTGAGAACTGTAAATCGGACCCGTGCGTACAAAAAAACATTGTAATATATGTTTTGTAATAGATGTGCACATGTCACGATAATACAATATTTACTTTATTGCTATCAACAAACCTATAAATATATCTAAACTATCTCTCCGTTGTATTTCATGTATTATTTTCTATAAATATGTATATAAATCATGTTTAATAAATAAATATTGAATAATGCACACTTTCTTTTATTGATTAATTCACTTTAAAAAAGGGAAAAAATTACCGGTTTGGATATTTTATAGAGACCAGCAGAACAGAACAGAACAGATCTCTTTATTTCTTTCCCAGGGTATATGGTAATACAACATGGGGATATACTATAAACAGATACAATATTATAAACAAACTTCCGATAGTACTTTATCAGCTGATGAATAGTGTTTTAATTCAAAATAGAATGAAGATTCAGTAACATTTATAGATAAAAATGTTAATTTTGGGGGAATCCTTCAATAAAGATTTAATATGCACATTATTCATCTGATGATATAGTTCTTATCTATATAAGTATTAAAAAAAATATAAAAAAAAAATACATAAATAAACTTTTTTTATTGACTTATCATGGAAAAGAGACCTTAATATTAATGTGTTCAAATCATTACTATGTTAAAACAAGAAAAAAAGAAAAGAAAAAAGAAATGACCAATAGCACACTTGAGTGTTTTCATTAACATTTTTTAAGCTAGTTATCCTTTGAAAAAACATCAAAAAACATTTCAATGTACAGTAATACATAAACACATATTAAATAATATCCTATACATCAGACAAAATTTTTCATATGATCAGCATGCTATATAATATTTAGGACGGGATGTTCACTGCCTGTCTCAGAGTTGCCAGCCCGCGTTGCTCAATCGGTTAGAATCTCGACATTGTGGATTCGATTCCGGGGCGACCAACTAAAATGTCTAATGAGTACTTCGGATGATACTTTAAATCGAGGTCACATGTATAATTGCTTTACACTTGGCGTGAGAAGCTTCTGTTTCTGTATCTTGCATTATCCTCAAAAATCTTTAAAAAAATGACCAATACTCTTATGGAGGACTCGCCCTTAGGGTAACCGATGGCGAGAATAGGTAAACACAAATACACACAAATCTCAGAGTGTGCATCGTCGGACGCCCGGGAATGAAACGCATACGTAAGCACGTGTCATCTAAGATGCAGGTACTGTATGATCATAGGCGTTCGGCTAATTTGTCTTGCCATTAATTGCCAATTTATCTTGAAATAATCTCCTATTGATCATCAAGAATAAAAGAAATATACATAAAATAGTTATTATATACATAGAATATAAAATATATATTATAAACATAAGATATACATTATATGCGTAAAATATATATTAAATGTAGTAAACGGGTGCTGGATTGGTGATCCGAGGGGAGATTATTGTATGATAATTTGGTCATTTTGGCAAGACAAACTGACAGCAGGCTGTTAGTATGAAAGCTTCATTTCCACGTGACCTTGTACTAGAACTTGACAGTTTTGAGAAAATATGTAAAAATGGCTTTTGACACTTTCTTCAACACGTATCAATCTATAGATCCAAGACAATTTTAATTAGTTTTCCAGCAGGATTTTTTTAACATTTATATTTCTATGTCCATAATTGTGGTATGTAATAGAAACTGCCAAGAATAATGCTTGATGTCATGATAAAAAATGAACGCGTTGAATATACGTGAAAAAATATCCATGCACTAAACAATCCCACAAAATATCTAAACTACTTAAGAACCACACAACATAAAATCGTCAAGCTGAAACGATCAAAATGGTATCTTTTATGAAAAAAGAACGCTTTTATTTTTTACGTATACATCAAGTTTCCTTTGACCAATTTATTCTGTTTCAACCGGAATACACCTAAAAATTAAAAGATCTAATAATTATCACATTTTGCTGAAGGGCTCTCACTTGCATAATAAGTAAACAAATAGCAAGAATGCAATTTTCAATGATATTCAATTCTTTTCAATTTTCAATGGCACTTTTTTGTGAGAAATTTAATTCTGAACTAGTGCAAACATTTTAAAAGTTTCAAGGACCATTGAAGGCCCCGCAGAGCGCTAAAAAGGTCGCGAATATGTTTAGTTCGAATCAAATGCTGTTGTAGTTTCTCTTTCTCATATAAATCAATTACTTTTTTTTTTGTTTAATTTTATCCCGAATAGAGGGCAGCAAAATAGTCTTCGTCGCGGAATAAACGGCTTAACTTGAAAAACAAAATTGATCGTTTATACATTTTGAAAATTAATCCCAAAAGTTCAAGTAAAGACTAAGTGTAAAGGGCAAATGAGTCAAATATTAAAGGGTTTTACTTTAGTTAATTCAATGCACGTGTAATTGCACGTGCAGGAATGTTTAAACCTTAACGCTAGAGAAATATGTCTCAATGCGACTTTCTGATTTAACAAGGCATTTTCTTATTCATATTAATTTAGTTGATTTAAAAAAATAAATACATTTGTATATTGACCTAATTTCACAATGTGCCATTAGTTTTTATGTATAAGTCATAAAATTTAATATAGTTAAATGTCGTCTGAAATCGGGCTGAACGAAAGAACTAGCATCACAACCCATTTGGTTGGGGAAAAAACATTTTTTTTTTTTTTTTTTTTTTTGGGGGGGGGGGGGGTGTTGTTGTTTTTTTTTGTTTTTTTTTAACTTTTTGTCTTTTTACCATTTTATTGTTCAAGTCAAATTCCCCGCTATTCCATGAAAATTTGGGCGCCGGGTTTCAAATGACTACTGCATATGAATATATATATAAAGACGTTTATGAATTTATGTATGAGAAAAATGTATATAATCCGTAATGAATTAGTCAATTTTAACACCACCCATAAACCCCTGGGCAGTCCGAGTGATTTTACCTTCAACCTGTCCCCGCGATAAAAATCTATTCTATCAAACAGGTTTTTTTCTTAACGATATGGCGATGATAATTTCGACAAAGAATTTAAATTCTAGCAAGAATACAATATGCTTGTATTGGTTTACCATTTGATGTATGTCTTTACCAATAACTTGTGATCAAATTCTCACTTCGTCCCCCCCCCCCCCCCCACCAGGAACAATCATAATCAGTTTATTGGCGTTTTTTAAAATTCGAATAAGATTAAGAATCAAACGATATATCTTTTTCAATTTAATTCTTGGTTATGTACTATATTACTGTGTCTCGCATATTTTTCAGTTTTAGGTAAAAATGTAAAATTTTCAAATTTTATGAGATTTTGTAGGCTTTCAGACCCCATTGGCTCCTTCAAGGGTATAGAATACATTAAGAGGGAGAAAAAAAATGAATTAATTATTTGGTTACTTGTCAGTGCAAACCACTCCATTTGTGTACTAATTAATTAATTATAATATAGAACATGGCTTTTGGGGGACCTCTAATTTCTTGGATAAAGGGTATATCGATTCAAATAATGTATACTTAATTAAAAAGGAAAACATGGTTTCAAATTCATCCCCATGATCTTGAAAAAAAATCAAGCAAATTGATTACTTACTAGTTATCAATTATTATCTAATTAACTATTAGATATAGAGACCGCAAACGTAAGTGTAACAAAGTCGGCGAACATCAAACAAGAAATTAATTAAGCCTTTCTAAATACCAATCAAAGAACACCTCTTGAGTGAATACGGACTTCAAACTTTCTTTTTTTACAAATTGGTATAATTGTCAGTTTGTATCAGCGGAACCTTTCAAAATCAATTATCTAATAATTATATGTTTGCATGTACTTACGCAGCTTCCAATTGGTTTATTTGAACGCTCCGCCCACCTTTCAATCCAATGAAATTTAAGAATAGGATATTTGAAGGTTTCATAATTTAAGTTAAATAGGCATTGAAAAAAAATATTTTGACATTATTTAAAAATTAAACGTATTCATATTTTGACAAACCTGGTGTAAGCTTTCAATTATTTGTGACGAAAACTGCTGTTGCGAACTTTAAATATAAGTTTGAGTTACTGTTTTACTGCGAACTGTACTAAAATACATAAGAATATATTTCATTTTCGTCGAACTTTGTGTGAAACCCGTGAATTTCGTGCAATAGAAGCACAATGTGGCAGCAACGTGCGAGCTTTGAACAGGCTAACGTATTGGACGTTACTATACAGTGTCAATTTAACGTTGCCACAAAAAACGTCAGGGAATATTCGACGATGTACACAACACCGCATGCCCAGCAGACGCCACCAAACGCTTATCCTGCCACGTGCGTGAGGAGAGCATATACTTCTGGACCTATGAGTCAGTGTCGTATGGATAATATTACACCTACAAAACCAAATTATCAGTGTGAATACCAGGCACAACAACGTTACTTTGGTGATTCTGTGCCGTTTGAAAATTCATGTGGATCATTAAATGAACAAGGGTTACCTAGTGCGTATTCTACGCCAATTGGATTTAACAATAGTGCACCCGGATATTACTCTTCATGCATGAACGATTCTGGTTACGGTAGTCCGCTCGTGCAACTTGGTCACGAAAAAAACTCTGCGTTTACGCCATGTGTTGAACTTTCGAGACAAAGTGAGTCGGGTTCACCTGTGTTTGAAAATGTTAAACATTCTTCTGTTCATACACACGCGTTTCAGAGTGACACAAATTCACCCGTGCAGCAGTTAAATCCCGTGGAGGAAACGTGTGAAATGAAAATAGCAATGCGCGAAAGAGATGTTATGCAACGCTTATTCTCTCTCAGAAACATTGACAGTAAAGCGGCTGATGACATTGAGCAGTATTATCAGTCGCAGACGACAATGATAGATCTGGAACGCCACAACGTGTTGTGTCAGATGGCCTACGACAAAGGTAGCTCGGACTCTATCCACAAATATTACAATCTAAAACTCTTGTCCCTTCTTGAATGTGTTGAGGGAAAACTATCCGCGTGTGAATCCAAAAAGTGTAAAGGATCTAAGTGTAAAATAAACAGTGACAGAAAATCTCGTCTGCTTCCAAAACACGCGGTAAAAGTGATGCAATCTTGGTACGATGAGAACTTGGAAAATCCCTACCCTTCAAGGGAAGTAACTCTGTCTATGGCTTCTGAAGGGGGAGTAAGTGTTGAACAGATTAGAAAGTGGTTCGCCAACAAACGCAATAGGTCTAGGAACAATAAACTAAAAGCGTGTGACATGGATTCGCATTAAATGGACAATGCCCCCCTACACCCCTTTTTCCCTAACCCTGAAAAAAAAACTAAGAGAGAAAAATAGTGCAGTGTAATAAACTTGGATTATAAAAGTGTTTTTGATTATATTTTTAAAGAATTTTGAAAAGTGATTCAATGTAACGTGTTACAGATTATGTTAAACTTTAATATATCTTTTTATCACTCCAGGTATTACATGTATTTTTATTTTATTGATGGCTGATTTGATAAAAGAAATAAATTTAATGACATTTCAGTACAGAATTTGCACTTGTCATTTTAATTCATTTGATTAATTTTAACTTAAGTATTTGTTTAAGAATATCATATTTTTGTCTTGTCTCCTCAATCATCTTTTTCTATTATAACACTTTGATAATACCATTCTTATTGTAAAATTGTGCCAACAAGTTAATCTTTATTTATTTCGTTTTCGATAAAGGTTAGCCGTAGTTTTGGTGCTTAATTTTTAGAAAACTTGTATTAAATGGCTTAAAAAAATCATAAAAATGATTTTTTGATTTCTTTTTTTTATCCTAGATAAGTTAAACCTCTTTCAAATTCTTATATTTTGTATGATTTTTTTCTCGGATAATTTGTTCTTTTTTTCATATACATGTACGTTGTAAATTTATTTATTATCCTCTGCCTAAAGAAACTAAAGAAAATTAATTATCTAGATTTGAAATAAAGAAATGATAATATGATTTAAAGTTCATTTTCAAATAAGAAAAAGTTCATTTGTTAGTTATCATAGGTATTAATTTGGCATTTTTTTCGATAATTTTTCGTAGAGTCAAAAAATTAAATATTCTATTAAAGGTATAAAGCCAGTATTTTGTACACCCCTTGAAATTCTCTTTTTAACTTGAAAAGATTATTTCTGACAGGGAAGTGAATCTTTTTTAATATATACTTGTTAAATTTCCTTCCTTTATTTATTTATTTTATTTTTTTTAAAGATTTTTTTTTTAAATGAGTGTCTTACCATGCATTGTCACTTCTCAGCAGCCAGCTTCATTTGAAAACTTGTTAAAAATACCATTTGTGTGAATTCATGATAATAAGCTTTCACTTGATCTAAAAAAATATTATTGTTATTGTTATTGCATATTACTGTAAATAAAAGTTATCACTGAATTTTGTTGTTTTTGTTTTTACTTTGTTAATTTCTTAGACTAAAAGGTCGGTATCAATTAATATAACCCTTCTATATCATGACTTTGAATAGTTATTTAGTTTAAAGACCCATTATGCCTCAGAGACGCTATCATTTTTATTTCTCAACTATTTTTCTTTTGGTAACTTGTTACAGTTTCAGTTTATTTGCCATATAAATAAACTATCTTTTTCTTTCTTTGCTCTGTTGACAATTGGTATAATTATAGTATAAATGAACCCCCACCAAAAACCGGACCACACCCTATTCATAATCTAATAATGTGAAACATTTAGACTAAGGTACTGATTTGTTGTTTTCCTTCAGTAACCTAAATTTATAAAATTCTGACTACACTTATCAACAAAATAACGGTCATATTGTTAAGAAAAGTTATTTTTTGTGTTCTAAATAATTTGACATAAAAAAGAGCAAAATGTAAACAAAGTAGTATTTTGACTTCCATACACAATACTTATTCTCTATATTTGTACTTATTGCCAAATATAGAAACAGTTGAAAAAGATGGTTCTGGTAATTGGTCGGCAATGAATAACTTTTTGGAAACTATAAAAGTATGCCAAAATTTAAAAGGTTTTGAGAAATCAAATGAAAAGCATTTCTGAAACCTAATGGGCCTTTAAGCACTGCCGGTTAGTGGTTTCTGCGACTAGTGCAGACCAACTTCACCCTAGTCTCCAGATCATGATTTGCAATACTCGCTTTTCAGTTCCTACATATTGTGAACATTTCCCTAAAATTCCAAGTATATGCCAGATATATGCGAGATATTTAGCGTGGTAAGAAAATTAAATATTGAGAATAAATGAAAAAAAAAAAAGAAAAATATAAAAAAGATAAATAAAATAATAATTATAATAATAACAATAATAATAAAAACATGTATGTACCATTTATAAATTTGTTATAATCGGATATATTTTAAAGTAAGTTCCAAAGTTGAAAAAATGTAATTTGATAGAGAAATGAGCCGCGTCATGACAACCAACATAATGGGTTTGCGACCAACATGGATTCAGAACAGTCTGCCCCCGCTCAGTCTGATCAGGATCCATGTTGTAAGCTATCAGTTTCTCTACTTGTAAGCGAACAGCATGGATCCTGATCAGACTGCGCGGACGCGCAGGCTGGTCTGGATCCATGCTGATCGCAAACCCATTTTGTTGGTTTTGTCATGACGCGACTCAAATCATTATAAGCACAGTATTGAATTTTCTGTCATTTTCATTGTACACGCCAAATAGTGCAGTAACCAGTGATATTGCATGGTTATATTCAATTTCTAGACATTGGAAATGTGTTAATAATTAAGAATTAGTAAATATGGATAGCAATAGATTGAATAAAAGAGCGTATTAACATTTTAATACAATTAGTAATTACAGATGTTGAAGTTGGGATTTTAGAATTAAAACACAGCTTAGGAAGATGAATTTTGATGAATATGTGAATCATATAGATACATGTATTGACAAGAAAGCTTTTAATGATAAAGTTCATATACTTACGATGATAATGTATGATAACTGTGAATTTAATGGATTATATAAGATGGTAATAAGTGAGAAAATTAAGTTAAAAAAAGTTTATGGAATATGTAGTTTAGTAATAAAAAGAAGAGTGTGATTGGTTAAATTAAAGCTTTGGAAGAAAAATATACGGTAATAATAACATGTCTTGTTACACAAATCACCATATTGTGTAAATGTTTACCTGGTCTTTTAGATATTTGTCTCAGCCAGAGTTCAATCTCGTGCATTTGATTGGCACCTGTAAGAGTCAGATGCCATTTGGCCAATGAAATTCACGCTTTTGTTCGATCTATAACCAAAATTGGCAACTCATATTCTTATAATAATAGCGGCGGTAGATATAAATTTTTGTGGACCAATGCCGATCCCAATATGCTACCGTAATTCTCTACTTGGCCTGATTATAGACACTTTTTTTCTCAGCTCAAACTCAGATCTCGTGCATTTGATTGGTCAGAAACCGCGACAGAGCATGTCCATTGGCCAATGAAAATCACGAGATTCGATCTATAACTTCAAACCATTGGCTACTCCTGTACTTAAATGAAACTAAATGAGCAAGTATGTGATATACACATGTAATTATAAAGGGGCCAAGTTTGCAAGTTCATATTTCATATTGCTCTTCATCATACTGACACTTCATTAATCATACTTTAAGGCATGCATACAAGGTTTTTTTTACCCTCCCCCCACCCACTAAAATAAATGAATAATAAATAAATATAAATGAATGAATGAATTGTGACCACCCTTAAAGATATATATTAAGCCTTCAAAAATAAGTTTAGTTACATACGGTATCTAACTATTTTTCTAACAATCATTGGCTTGTCATGTCAAAACTTGATTTGCTTGCAACAAATTGGCTGACTGTTTCAATGTCAAAATAAAACCAGCCTTTATCACTTGTTATCAGTAGAAAACTCTTATTGTAAAAATTCTCATTGACTAGGGTTTGAACCTCAGACCTCTCGATTGCTAGGCAGACACTCGGCAACGTTGCTAAAGTTTGCCCAACATTAATGCTGTTGGAAGTGGCCGATACCTTTAAATACTACACTTCTCTGCACTTTATTTGAAAGGGAAATGTACACAGTGCAGCCATTAATACTAATGAATAACTATAATAACTGTATAAATTGTTCAGCTTCCAGCAGAGTATAGCTCCTGCCTATAGTACATGTTCATGCAGTTTACTTTTCCATAGGAAAGGTCCTGATTTTTTTCTACCTTTTCTGTCTGTAGATAATTCTTCATCCCATCAAATGACAAACTATATGACCATTATGTATTTTAAACCCTTACCACTTTTCAACTGTAAACCTGAACAACTTCAAGGCACCGACCAGGGTTTCAACTTCTGACCTCTTGACATCAAGCGATACACTTAGCTGTGTGGCTTATCTAGGGATGACCAAACTTAGAACTATCCCTTTTATCACACACTGTTATCTGCTAACATTTTTTCATCACTTAAAATGTGATAATTATTTACCTAATTTGGGATAAATACTACCTAAATTGGGACAAATATTTTACCTAAATTAAGATAATTTATGTTTTCAATTTAGATGACTGTTTGTCTTAAGTGGGATAAATTTAGGACAAAATGTTGTCAGTTGACACAAAAATAATATAATACAATACATGTAATAACAGTATTAATTTATTTTCAAAAAATATATCTATGACATTTAACTCAATTATTTTATTATAATAATATACAAAATGTATTTTGGTGTACTTATATACAATACGTGCATGAAATAAATTTATTAACATAACATATAAATTTAAACAAGAAATGTCTGCAAGATGGCACATTACTATTATTAATACTATTATTGTACTATTCTTTCCTAGGAATGGGCACAATCACCATAGACAAGTATCCCATATTTTAAAGCAAATATCTTGAGAAAGTTCGGCAAAAGGTAAGGTGGTACAAAAAGGAATCTAACATTCAATAATTGCAATAATAAACAAAAGGTGCATACAGAATAACCGACTGTCAACATTATTATCCCACATATAAAACACATGCCTTTCTATGGCCTTTTAAAACCTTTTTGCTTATATTTAATTACAAGGTATTTACCTAGGATATTTCTAAGACTTAAAACAATTTACTATAGAAGACTGATGTTGATTTTTTAAAGTTATGTATATTGAATGTATAACAAAGTACACTTTATGGAAGAGAAAGTTAAGATAAAATCACAATTATGATAACAAGGGCTGCCTGCAAGACAGAGCGCTTAACTTTTCTCTAAGCACAACAGCAAGAAAAGGGGCATAACTTTGTAATTAGGTTAACTCAAGAGTTATGGGACCTGTCCCCATCATGTAAGATAATCATAGGGAACAAGTGCATTAAGGTTTGACCTATTCCTTTCAGTAGTTTTGGAGATACCAAATTGCTCGCAAAAACTTATCCTACGTGTGACAGTGACGGCAATGCCGGAGTGACTGACAGGTATACAAATGCACCAAAATATTGACAACTATTAAAGTGACAGTGGATTGGTCTACAATGGGCACAATTTTCGATAGTAATTCAAATATTGATAAGAATAATTGAAATATATCATTTGGATATTCAAACAAAATATTTCTTAAAAAAAAAGGTTGATATTACATCTGCGTTATTTAGTATGAATATTTATATGATGAATTACATTTTATACTAGAACAATTAAAAACAATTCAAAAAATAATAAATGTTTAAATAAAGAAAACCTTTACAATCAACATTACACTAAATAAACAATTTATTTTAATTAATTACACATGTACATATTATAGAGTCGCGTCACAACAAAACCAACATAGTGCGTTTGCGACCAGCATGGATCCAGACCAGTGCAGTCTGATCAGGATCCATGCTGTTCGTAATTAGTTTCTATACTTGTAATAGGGTTGGTAAGCGAACAGCATGGATCCTGATCAGACTGCGCGAATGCGCAGTCTGGTCTGGATCCATGCTGGTTGCAAACCAACTATGTTGGTTTTGTCATGACGCAGCTCAGATATTTTTCACCTCAGTCTTGCACAAAAATGACAAAAAGTTAAGAAATCAAGAAACAATCAATTTAACAAAACGGACATTAACACAAATAATTTTAAAACTTAGTTCAAACCCAAAATTTCATTAACATGTAATTTAGATATCCTTTTGACAGTAATTCTCTTATTAATTTAAACCTTTCGAGTATTAAAAATCTTACCAACTTGCTTTGATTTTAAATCATGTGAACAGTTTATTCCCTTAATATAAGGGTATTGCACATTGATACGCTGTACAAATGGATTTTTTTCTGATCATCACTTGAATCACGAATTCACAAATCCAGAATTTATATCCCTTGTGAAAATGTTTACAAATCAAGAATCTTTGCATAAAATCTACTTGCCGTGAAGATTACTTATTCAAGATATATATTGAAATTTAACCAATTAAACTCAAATCCGATATTAATATAATAAACAGCTTTATTATTTGGTTGAATGAATATTACTGCAAATTTCACAATGATCTTATTGTAGATCAACTGTAAATACTGATAAATGTAGTAAATATTTATAATATTGCATCGTAACTTCAATGGATGGCCATGGATTAATGTTTGAATAACAGCCATATTTATTTGATACATGCTATGTAAATAAGGAATATACATGTTTATTACCCTTCCAGACTTTTTCCGCCTTTTTGATTGGATATTGATCACCCGAAAGAAATTGATATAACCGAGCCAGACGGGTAATATACACACTAAATTTCCCCGTTTGGTACCCAACGTTGTAAACAACATGCGCGGAGATGATGCGCGTACGGTTTGATTTTACGCTTTAAAAGCACTTTTTAACTGTCAAATGATAAATATTTACCAAAGTAGAGTTATGATACATATAACCATCAGTATCGAAAACAAATATGACCTTGTGAAAGCTTGATATTAATTACAAAAAAAGTGCGTTCAATAGACTACTCCTTTTCTCTTGTTTACTTTTGTAAGGTACGGGAAAAATACGTCATGTATTTATGTGACGTCATGTTGTGACGAAGAGGTATCCTAAAGGGAATCTTATTTCGACGTTTCATTTGAAACAGCAATTTTAAAAAATCGTCTAAACTCGGCAGGGAGAGGGTAATAAAATTATTATTTTGGTTTTGGAGTGATATATGTGGATATATTACCTGCCAAGATAAAATATCACCCTCGCCTAACGGCTCGGGTGATATAAAATCTTAACAGGTAATATATCCACATATATCACTCCAAAACCAAAATAACATATAATATGATTAACTAGTGTCCAGCTTAAGTTTTCCATTTCAATGTCTTTCTAACTCTCAATTCTGAATTTAGATTTTGGAAAAATGAAATTTTCTAAAGGTAATATGAGCCACTTCACAACAAAACCAACATAGTGCGTTTGCAACCAGCATGGATCCAGACCAGCCTGCGCATCCACGTGGTCTGATAAGGATCCATGCTGTTCGCTTACCAACTCTATTACAAGTGGAGAAACTGATAGCGAACAGCATGGATCCAGATCAGACTGCACGGATGCGCAAGCTGGTCTGGATCCATGCTGGTCGCAACCGCATTATGTTGGTTTTGTCATGACACGGCTCATATATTTTTGAGATTTGAATAAACTGGTGAAACTTGTCAAAAGAAGCTTTACCATATCTACAGTATATCAGCCTACCACTTTTTTAACATGGGTTGTGGCACACTGATATATATCAGTCTACTTTCTTATTAACATAGTAAGACGCATGGATATATGTAAGTTTACTACCTAACTAACATGGTATGAAACACTGATATATATCAGCTTGCTTTTATTTTTTTTTACCTGAATTACATTATTTGGCATACTGATATATATATCAGTTTACAAATCTTATTTACATAGTATGAACAGCATAGAGTTTACTACCTTAATTACATGGTATGGAACACTGATATATATCAGTCTACAGAAAACAATTTGTCTACTATCCCGATGATGAAGTGGAGTACTGAATGATGTATTCAGGATAACATTGGTTATTGTCAAATATAACAAAGATTTTAGGTTTATCTGGATTATCAACCGCTGAATGCGTTTCTCTTCCGCCAAAACCTTTTTCAGGCCTTCGCATCTTGTGCGTTCCTACGCACGAGCGTCCTACTAACACACGTGCAAGGAACATGAAACAATCAGTGTCACTAGAGTCATCTATATTCAACCCAGATCTTCTAATATTTCCAAATGTTGTGCCTCCATGACCAGAAGTGTTAAAACAACTTCCTCCAGAGAAACCACTTCCACTGTTTCCACTACTCGGTCCAAACATAAACCCACTTCCACTGCTTACGCTATTTTGTCCAAACGAGAAACCACTTCCACTGTTTCCACTACTTGATAAAAATGGAAAACCACTTCCACTGTTTCCATTATTTGTAGTACTAATAGAGTTTGGAGGAATCACTTTTACAAATAAATTAGCCCCTGAATTACCCTGTGCGAATTTGAGAAGATCTTTATTCACTTTGTGAAGTTTAGCTACATTTGAAGCAGCAATAGAACTGGGAACTGAAACTGTTTGTGCTGATGATGATGCTGTTGTAGAGACAGGATCAGTTGCTTTTCTTTTTGGTGTGCAGAAAATACAGTTAGAACATGATTTCTTTAAGGCTGAAGGATCAGTGGAAGTGTTAGAAGGCATGTTAAAATTCTGTTGCTGATTGCAATGCAAATTGGGATGAGGCAAAGAGTTTGTGCAGCCATTGCCGCCTGCAGGACAAGTGACTCCGCTTGCTCCAGTATTACACTTACACCCAGAGTTTGATACAGTCTTCGGTGAACTAAATTTGAAAAGGTGTTTACTAGAAACTGTGGCTGGGAGTGTTACAGAAGTAACAGGAGTCCATGTTGATGCAGGTCCAAATGAGAAGCCCGAGTTTCCCGTATGCGAAGCTCCTAGTTGTAAACCCAGCTGGTAAGCTGAATCCGCGGATCCAAATCCCGCGATATCCTTTGGAACTGACTTGCTTTGTCCGAAAGTGAAACCAGTGCTCGCTGCTGTGACAGGATTTCCTCCAAATGTAAAACCTGACTGTGAAGTACCAGTTGCTGAACCTCCAAATCTTAGAGGGGGTTTATATTGCGGGGGTGGTATTGTAGACATACCAAAAGGAAATCCTGACCCTGAAAACATACAATATTCATTTTATCAGTTTCTACAATTAACAAGAGGGCTATGATGGCACTGGTTTGCTCAACTGAGATTCATGCACACAAAAAAAACACATTGTGTGTCTCATTTTTTTCTCTCTCAATGCTGCATAGTTTTAACAATATTTGTTGATATCTGCTGGGAAATGCTTCATGACAAAATATGTAAACTCCTGGAAACGTGCTTTCATCAGACAAGAAGATTTTAAACACAACAAGTCTATGTAAACTTAGCAACCCCCAGGTTGGGACCATTTCAATCCAAGGGGTATAACTCACCTAACATTTGTAGAGGACCACAAGGTAATGCTACATGCCAAATATCTAAGCTCCAGGCATTGTAATTTCTGAATAGAAGATATTTTATACTCCTGTCGCCTACTTATGTATCAGACTGGAAACATGTACTAGTATATAACTTTTGTAAAGGACCATCTAAATCCCTTCCTGTAAAGATTGGTCAAATTCCATTAATTGCTTGAGGAAGAGAATTTATTTAAAGAAACTGAGGACAATAAAGAACAACGGTGGACAATAAAGAACGGCGGACAACTTATGACAGACACACTGCCATCACAAAAGTTCACTTTGTGCTCAGGCGACCTAACAAAAATAAGTTTGTTTGTTTGTTTCATTTTACGCCTTTTTCCAACAGTATTTCAGTCATATAGGCGGGTAGTTTCCTAACCATCGTTCCTGGAGAGTTACACCAGTACTAGACTACCTTCCTCCGCGCTAAACTACCAAAGCATCTCCCGGGGATCGAACCCACGCCAGAGAGGTAACTAGATTAGAAGTCATCGACTCTAACCCCTCGACCACGGAGGCGGCTAACAAAAATAAGAATTGTCTTTTTTCCCTGAATGATCAATATTACAACTTATGATGAAAGAGCAAAATGCTAACCTGTTGACACTGGGTCGCATTTGTTTAAAATTGTATATCAGTGGGTATATTTAAAATAAAAATGGTTGTCAGACATATTTTCAATCATAATTGTACCGAAACAGACTTTATTTTCTTTTGGATGTCAAATATCTATATACATTATCTTAGATTACACTCTCTGTTTATAATTACAATTGAAACCATGTAAACATCTTTCACTCTGTATTAACTACGAGGTTATTATAGATAATAGCAGAGGACGTTCCGATTGACAATCTAAGTAAATTAACGTACCTCCTATATTAGGTCTGCCTCGCCTGGATGAATTCCCTGATGAATATTGATGGGATAACCATGGACTCTTGGCAAAATATGTACCTGAAAATAAACAATACAAAAGTCTTTTGTTTTTCCATACACATTGCATATATTCATGTACATCTAAATTGAAAATAACTTTTGTAATGAAATATTAGGCAACCACAAATAAACATTTACGGAGAAAGAGTGGAAAAGGGTTATAGCATAAGACTCCTAATACAGATGTTGTGGGTTTGAAACCCACTTGTGGTGGACTTCCAATTAAACTCCACGCTGGTGCCATTTCTGGTCAGAACACCCAGGAAGCAGTCAACTAGTGGGTCTTAAACCGGCAATCAGTCCTTACTGGAAATTGAATGTTGGACTGTGACATGCTGATGTGAAAGCACATGTAATTAACCTGTTCACCAAATGTTTGGTACTGCCTTTTTTTGCATTCCCTATAATTCCACTGTAACTTATTAAGTGTTGATAACAGATCTATCCCACCTGTATAGAGTCTGGCCTGTCTGAACAATCATGTACAGTCTGGCCAGGCACAATAATGCTTGCAGTTATATTTAATATATCTGATACTCAAATCCCAAAAACTTCAAATGATCAGTCTGAAATTTGGTAAAATCAAGTCCTTTTAACTAATTCAGATACAAAGGGTCAATTCAGAAATTCTTCTTACTTTGTTTGTTCATTCTTAAACCTGTTCTCTTATTTTTCCACCTACCTTCTTTCCTGACAATCACAATTCATCACTCTTGTGAATACTGAACTAAATATGCTAAATTCAAATGAAATGTACCTATTATCAAACAAAGCCCCTAAACCAAATTCTTAAATCTTTAAATTATATGTATCTCTTATCTTATCTAGAAATTGTGCCATTTTTGCAAAAAATCCTCCAATCAAAATTTTCCTAACATTTACTACTCACCTTGTCCGTAAACTGTGCCATGTTTTCCACACAACCTCCAATCAAAACCTTCCTTACATATGGCTTCAATGACATCACTATGTGTTCCGTGAAACAATCTTATCTCATTGATAGTAAGTTCTCCCAGGTCTGACACCATGAGCCGTGACCTGAAAAATACAACAATCTATACAGATAGCGGTTTGGTGGGTGATGAATAAATATGACAGTGAGAAAAGTAAAAACATGATATTCTCACGTGTTTTGAAAATTTAAAGCTGTACCTTGTTTCAGGGAAATGACCAGCGGTGCAACAGACTCGAAACCAACAAGAACGTCAACACATTGTAAAACGTCACATTGTAAGATGTCACATGATAATTTTGACACCGAGCTCCATCTAGTAGTTAGGTGTAAGTGTCTTTTTAAATAATATAATAAAAAGAAAATTTGTTTATTTTAGAGTAAGATTGAAACATATTTCACCTCGTGAACACCAAAAGTTCATATTTCACTTGTTGCTGCCACTGCGAAAAAGACATGGATATACGGAAGTGTACGGAATTCCGTATATCATTAATATACGTGTAAGAATACGGGAAACTTGAAATACGGAGATGTACGGGACCGTATATTACATCAGTCCGTATATGACTAGTATACGAACTCCGTACACTCGTAATATACGGGAACTTTGATGTACGAAGTCCGTATTTTACTAATATACGGAATTTTTATAACAAGTCCGTATATTACTAAAATACGAAATTCCGTATTCGTGCAAATACGGATTCTGTATATAGAAATAGCGAATGAAAATTTACTTCTGAATAGCCTATTTCCTGTTAGAGTAAAGAAATAGTCTGATCATATATTTGTCAGACATTTGACAATTAACACAATGCAAAATTTCCTGGAGTTATTAACGCGTCAATTGCGTACAAATAATATCGTCAGTGCCAAGAAAACGTGTAGAGACATCCACCTGTAACATGCAGACGCGGTAAATTTTAGCTCAATACCGCTTGGTTTGCTTTTTAGCATACACCCGCAGATAAATAGCGAATACTTTACAATTGCGATTGACGATCTTAGATAGTCCACTAGTTTTGCATCTATGGTGAAAAATGTTATTTTGTAATTCTTCTTCATCATTATCAAAATTATAATATTTCTATAATGATAAGCCAAACATGAGAAAATGATAAAGTTGAAATTGTGATGTTCAAAACATGAATTAATTATAATAAAATCGTGGAACAAAAGAAAAAATTTCTGTGAAGTTGAAATCGTGAAAGTTAAAATAATTGTGAAATCATGAAGATGAAATCGGGATTGTCCACACAGCAATTAAATTTTACGTTGATATACATGTCCTATAAAAATAGGCTATACATAATATAATACATGTACTTGCATATGTAAAAAAACCCAACAATGATATTTCATTCATTCATTCATTCATTCATTCAGTCATTCATTCATTCATTCATTGAATCAATCAACCAATCATTCATTCATTTATTTATTTATTCATACATTCATTCATTACTCATTTATTCATATATTTATTTATTTATTTATTTATTTATTTCAGGAAACAAAGATTTACGTTTCTGTACACAAGTTTTGAATAGAAATCTTATGAAGTTCCGAATTCCCCAATTTTGATTTCTTTTCGGGCGGTCTCATTTATGACATAATATTGTGTAATAGCCACGTGCTGTATTGCCATAATTCGAAGACAATACTGATTAAGACGGACACGACGCGCGGACGACTCGTCCATACACGCAGTATGAAGTCTCTTCTCGGCGAAAAATCACAATAACGCGATGAAGAAGTTTTTGAGGTGCTGACCAAAGTAACATCGGATCTACGAGTTCATCTGAGTGATTGTGTCCTGTCCTAAAATCATATGACTCATATGACTGATGTTTTCTTGGATAGAAGAATCGAGTTAAATCCCTGCTGTTGGCTATAAAGAATTTTCTGAACGCGATGATGTCTCAATAGATGGCTGGTAATTCTCCCTCCCAGGTGAATACGGAGAAGCTTTTCTTCGTCCTTTGTTATTTGCCGGCTGCAATGTAATATTAATATCAAAACGTTTGATGTAATCCCCAGGAACTGGAAATGGTACTGATCCACTTGTCCAATAACTTGAAAGGCTGTGGCGTTGGGCAGTCAGAAAGATGTCCACTTGAACATAAGTTATATATAATAGTTTATATAAATCCTGTGATTCTTGAAAATAGACGCATCAATAACTTTATCACGAGCACTTCATTATAACAAGGTCTCAAATAATGCAATTAGTGAAAATAAAATAATCCCATCCTCGTCGCCAAAATGCTAAATGTCCGCTATATAACATATTACCGGACAAGCACATGGGTAGAAGAGAATAAAGCAACGCAGCCGCCTGTTACTAAATCTACTTTAATAATGATAATACATAGAAGGTGAGCCAGGTGAATTAGGCACGGGCTATCAGACTAGTAGGCTAATACTGCGACCAAACGAGTCAATATATATCAGTGGACCAACTTAATAAATAGTGCCTGTGTAAGGTGCACCGTATAAACATTTTGAGATTTAAAAACCTTAAAACTTAAATAGGAAAAGACCTGATAATGGCATCTAAATATTAATATTATAGCATATAAATTCAGGAAATTAGGACTCCATTTTTTGCAAATAATCTGTGTTGAGATTTCTGTATTCTGAAACCAAAATTGATCATGTCTTTAGTGATAACAAGTTCTCAGTTGATTGATACAGGAGTTAAACACAGATGTGATAGAAAGATGCCCATGGGAGGCTTGCTGACACTAAAATGACGGCGATTACCTATTAAACGCCCGTACAGAGTTAGAAAATCAAGTCTGGAAAAATTAAGTTTTGAATTGAATTGTTAAAAAAGAAAATGGGAATTAAATTTTATATTAGACCACCTTCAATGTCTCCCATCTTTTGAATCAAGGCTAGTCATGAACAAGACAAATATGCATTAAATTGTGACCATTGTAATGTATAACGGGGACTAAACTAAAATATGCAAATCCTACCAAAAATACAACTCCTACATAACAAGTCATGGAATAGTTAACTTGGTAAATTCAATTGACAAACCAACCATGTTAAAAAAAGTAGACATAACGCCAACCTTATTTATGTAATTTTAACAAACTCCCCTGCTTTGCTATTAATCATAGTTAAGTCAGTAAGCAAGCAATAAGGACTGCCATAGATGAAATATTTAAAGCTCCAAAGAACAGGTTAAACCGTATCTAAAAAGAGAAATACCTTTTGAGGAGTACAAAAATTATATGGAAAAATGTTTTTAAACACTGAGACTAGAAAAGTACCGTCCAAGTAGCATTTATACTTTGATGATGTTGATGACACTTACTGGGCATATAAAAAAATTTTTTAATGAAATTTTAGACGAACATGCACCTATAAAACAAAAATACCTAAAAAGTCTTCACCACCTTATATGAACTCTAAATACAAAAAAATAATCTACCAAACAAGACAGGCACATAACACATATCTGAAATATAAAACAAAAAATAATTGGGAAAAGTATAGAAAACTCAGGAACTTCAAAACAAAAATAAAACGTGAATCTATTACCACCTATTTCATGGAAAGATGTAGCGGGGGCCCAAAGTCTAAAGATTTCTGGCCAACAATCAAATATGATAAACAAGATCAACAAGGAAAGGCGGCGTTCAATGAACGCAACCCCCACATGACCCAGCAACAAGAACCAATGGCAAGGAGCCCAGGGGGACCCCAAACAAAAACAGGACAGGGCAAAGACAAAGCACGGACAGGTTAATCATTAAATGATAATTAATTTGTAACTGATTAGGAATTCAAAGAAAAAAAAAATAGGCCCACAAAGGGGAAGGGGGCAGAGACCGGGGGAGGGGTGGGTAAAGTAATCAAAGAAAATAAAAACTAGAGGCAATGGGGAAAATACTTACCGTAGACGAGAAAACACAAGGGACAACAAAGCAAAAGTGTCCACCAAAACAGTATGAAACAACAAATAAGACATAACATCTGAAGGAACACAGTGGGTGCGCCGCCTTAGGAAACGGGTCAGCAGCATAATAAGACTGCTGGGAGTTTAAACCGGTTAAATGGTGCAGCCAAACCTCGCTCTAAAAACCCCACCGATGTTCCTATAAAACGAAGACAGTGTAAATAATAATGAAGTCCCCGCCAAAATGATAATTCTAAACAGTTTCATGGTTACAAAAAGGTTAAATAAGTAAAACACTAAAAGTGATCATGGGAGAACATATAAAAGTAAACCCAATGACCATAACAAAAAGTAGCTCAATGTCCTAAAGGAAACAGAGCGAGACAAAGAAAATCACCTAACAAGGGCCCCGACGAAAGCAAAGCAGAAGACAACATTTAAAACAATTCAGTCCAAAAGGCT